CCTGCAGCGCGTGGACGTGGAGGACCGCAAGGGACTGGACATTGTTCTGCTGCTCGGTGCTGAGATCCTCCGCGACCTGTACCTGAACCCTAGACAAAATGTCTTTAACCTGACGGCGACGCCGCCGCCCACGACCGGTCGCCGCAAGAACTCAAAGCCACCTCCGGTATCCACGGCGGCGGCACCACCCCCGGCCGCCATGTCCGGCGCCATCGGCAACAAGCCCGCCTCACCCCCCGCACAAGCCATGAACAACGGTCCTCCCAGGCCCAATGCCCGCCAACAGTGGGAGATTGACAACGAGACAAAGCGCCTGCAGGCCATGGTAGCACAGGAAGAGCGGCAGGCGCGCGAACGCGAGCGACGGGACGCCGAGGAAGCGAAGCGCATCAAGAAGATGCTCGATAAGGAGGAAGCCGACCGCCGACGCAAAGAGGCCGAGATCGAGGCCGAGACGGAGCGACTTCGCAGACTCTACGGCGTCCCGCCCAGTCAGTCGAGCCCGAACTTACCACCGCGTCACCAGCCGCCGCCCGGAACCACGCCGGGCTCGTGGCACGTGGCACCGGCGCAGCCACCGCGACCCAACAGCGCGGGACCGTACAACGGGCCCCCGGGGACGAGCGCCTATCGTCCGCAGGTGCGGTTTGCGCAGCCGCCGCCGCCGCCGACGATGAGTGGTGCCTCGTCTCAGCCGCAGCAACAGTCACAGCAACAATCACAGTCGCAGCAGGCCGGTCGCGGGAAGCTTCCGAACCTCATGTCAGGACTGCTTCAGGGACCCTACGCGAACCCGGCTGCTAGCGTCAGCAACTTCTTCCATCGGGACCGGTCCGAGGAGGAGGAGAGGAAGCGTAAGGTCGCTAAGAAGCGGAGTGTGCATTTTTGAAGGAGCACGGCGGTCTTCTCATGGCATGTGTAAAGGGGGTATGATTTTGCCCCCTTTTTTTTTTTTTGGCTTCGCTTTGCAAATGATGTTGGCATAATCTTCTGGCATTTGATGGGCTTTTTTGCGCATTCGTTAGCATTTCGTCATGGAACCGGATTGGTCTCCCTGGGCTAGCACGGCAAGCCTTTTTCACATTCTTCGGCGTCAGGGGGGTTTTCTCTGGACGGATATACCATGTATTAGTGTTTGGGCATATAGAATTACGAGTTTTATGATCAAGACATTTCAACTTTCCTTTTGAAAACGGGACGTGTTTGCAGATACGTGGTGAGACGCACTGTTGTACGTCACAGTTGAGATGATCCTCCTCGAGTGTGAAGAGATTTACGGGCAAGGTTGCACTGCCTATATCTTGACATGCTGAATATTGTTCTTTTGAGGTTCATTGCCCATTCCCTCAGAGTCTCAAGCAACTACGTAACTTGGAAGAAGAGGCTATGTAGTCACTCCCTCTGGTCCTCGGCTTCTCAAAGGTTCCTTGGTTTCCCATGTCCTTTGGCCATTTCTTCAATCTGAGAAAGAGATGTGAGTGTGCATGTTACTCGAAAGAAGTCTGAGAAATTGCCTCGTACTTTTCTTTACGTGCTTACACCTTTCTGTCCTAGGAGGAATTTGTGAAATGTAGTTGAACATCCATCAACGTGCCTGTTCGCGACCATGCATGGTCAGAGTACCGGAAATGTCTCCGAGGATAAATAGTTCTCTTCTCGGGGGGTTTTTTTTTTTGCATCTACACCTTTTCCCTCCTTAGGAAAGATATTACCTATAAAAGAAAACTATTGAAATAAAGTCGAGCATCTATCAACGTGGCTGCTCACGATTGTGCGTAGTCAGAGTATGCCGGAAAGGTCTCCGGGGGATAAGTAGTTCTCTTCTTCTTTTCGATCCTCTCCTTCTCGATAATTATAATTGGAGACACAAGCAACAAGGAGTAAATATTCCATTCAATTGCACGGTTTCCTTGTCTCCTAGTACCGCGTTCGCACGTATTCGTACCTAAAGAAGTCACATGGCGAGAGCCAAGGCAATAGACAGAAGTGGAAGGCAGGAGACTAAATCAGGAGCTGCCCGGCCTGTGCACTCCATGTGACCATTCAAAACCAACGTCATTCTTCGGCAGAACCTTCTTCCGAGCTTCTAACGCTCGGACCAGGGTCAATCACGCTAGCCACCAAAAATTCTCATGATGGGTCCCTCAACTGCTACCTCTGGCCCAGCTGTTGCTGAACATCCCCTAGCTCAACACCACGTTCGACTCCATCCCAACAACGACTCCTCTTCCTCCTCCTCCCATTTCGACGACCAAGGTCACTTCCTCGCCAACGAATTCGCCTGCGAGCTCCAGCGTCATCTCTCCATCTTTGGTTGGAAAAGTTCATTTCGTTTCGGCCAGCAACAGCTCGCGAACCTCCAACAGCTCCAGAAGCTCGGTCTCTACGTCGATTACCCGGTCGGCTTCAGTCTTCGACCTCACACGCCCCCGGGCTACATCCGCAACCGTCTCATCGAGATCTTTGCGAACGCGCACCGCGCAGCCGATACACACCGCAAAAAGGAGCGCCGCTCTCAAACTACCGTCACAATGGTTCAACTTACCGAGGTCGAGGACGAGCACTTCCAGTCCGGCCAGGCTGGCCCCATCGACGATGACGCCGATTACTCTGACACTGGTATGTATCATCTGCCAGATATCAGGCATCGAGCACAAGTGGGAGCCTTTCGATGATGACATCGTTATCGCAAAGCTCACAGTGCGTCGCATACGTCACTCGATCCCCCTAGCTGACCAAAAAAACCACCCAGACTCCGAGATCTCAGAGGACAGCGACTACAACCCTCGCGACGAGTCCTTCACCGAGCGCCTATACGCCCTCAAGGACATTGTCCCCCCGACCACCCGCGGCTGGATCAGCAACAAGGTCGACTTTGGCGTCAGCGCCGTCCAGAACACGTGGTACTACGGCTCCCGCACCGTCTGGGTCGTCTGCGCCACCGCCCTCATGATTGGCGTCCCCCTGGCCACCTGCTGGGCCGAGGACCAGCAGATCGAGGGTATGGAGCGCGAGTACCGCATGCGCGAGATGGGCGGCGACGCGCTCCTGGCCGCTGGCGAGGGCAAGGAGGGCAGCACGGCTGAGCAGATCGGCATCGCCCTCGACCGCTCCGAGGCCAAGCCCGCTCTGTAAAATCACCAAACTCACTCGAAAACACACACCAAGAAAGGAAAAAAAAAAAAGACAATGCAAAGCGAAGCCAAGAATGGAGGCTAGCTTATCGAAAGAAATCCGAATCTACGCGCACCAAAAAAAGCTGAACGACTGTACCACATCAACCAGACCCCCCTTACCTCTCCCCCTTTCCCTCGGGCAGACTTTTTTTCCGTTTTGCGCTTTCGGACACTGTATATCAAGACAAACTCTCTCACACTCTCACACACCCACGACAACGGAACTTTGCATGCATTGCGGTCATGGATGGCTTTGGCGGGATGGGGTTTCCCTGCCAATTTTGCTTGTACTTATAGGAAATTTCATGAGGGCCGCGATAGGAATGGCCGTTTGCAATCATGACAAATTCTAATACCCACCCCGTTCTCTGGATTATTCTGCGTGATTTCATGGGTCCTGTTGCTGTGTTTACTTACCCTCAAGATACTCTGGCCGGTGTTTGTTGTCAAACTGCAGCATCACACACCCACGCAACCCTTGGAGAGGAGGTTAGCCAAAAGAAGAAGAGACTTGCTTTCAATAGAGGCATTCGTCAAAGAAAAGACGATCAGCTCGTTTCTGCTCTACCTTATCTACGAGTGCCCCCGAATACACCACGACAAGCAGATTCCTACCTAGAGAGGGAGGATACGTGGATTCTGCAAACGAAGTCAGTTCGATGCTGGCTCCCCCCCCCCCCCCCCCCCGTTCTCAACAGTCGAATGGAAAAGTGGCTTTTACTTTGTGATGGTTCAGCCCCCAAAACGGCATTCCAAGGAACGCGCCACAGATTGGCCCATCTGCTCATTTGTTGTATCGTTGCAGTCCCAAGTCTTTGAAAGCGCGCGCATTCGGTCATGTGTGGTTCCGCATTCCCGTGGTTGGGGCGACTTCTTCGGTAAGAAGGGGAGGGTTGATCTGCCTCATTGAAGTCTTGAATCGACAAAGTGTGGCCTGTTTCCTCCCTTCTCATGGGGGGTTTCCTTATAGTCATCGAGTCTATGACATCGAGTCCTTCCGTTGTCCGGTCACGATTATCAGCGAGGCCCCAAGTTCGCGGGAAACTCGGTCTGAAGGCTCGTTTAGGTTTGACGTTTTCGTTGACACCTGATCAATGGGCGGGCTTTCTGAAGTACTAGCTATACTTGCAGTCTTCTCAATTACACTCGCAAAAGGCTCTCGTGGTCTAGTATGTCAGGCTACTTAAGTGATGCTAGGAACTATCACGGCTTAGAGCAGTCCAAATTAGGGTGCGAGGTAATCGAAGCGCATAATCTGTCGTAGGGAAAGAGACTTCAGAGAGAGAGATACACAACACTTCAATGATGAATTAGACGGAGGAGAGGAACTGGTGCCAAAATCTGGAAATTGATAAAGAATCAAACGTTCCTCCATCTTCACTTTGCCGATGGAAGAATTGCCTCACAAACAGCTGCATGCCGTAGTTCTGCAGCGCCAAGTCTTCTTACTCCACGTTGCCCCCATAATCTTTTCTCGAGTATAACTATACTTTTCCTAGAATCCTCGCGTAGTTTCTTGATCTCTTTGGCGATGAAGGTGCGCGGAGACACCAGCAATAATCTCACCATTTCCCATAGCCATTTATGAGCCGTACAAAGCAGACCGATTTCCCCGCAAATCTCTTCAGCATGATGTTTCCCATGGCTATCAATGGTTTGAAAACACGATACATCTCTCCTCCTGAGGCTTTCGCGGCTCCGGCCTCAGACCGCTCGTCTAGGAAACCATAAGCCCCCGAGAATACGAATACGCTTCCTTCAAGAAGTTCAAACTCTCTGAAGGCTTTCAGGTCGCTCTTTCGACCTAGCTTCCAGTTGGTACCGCTATAGTTCGATGATTGTTTTTTCTTTCTGCTTGTCCAAGGCATCCTGGAGCTCTTTCACCTTGGACCGCAGGCTACCAATCTCGCCCATGTATTTCGTATTGAATTCACGAAGTCCGTCGATTCTCTTGGCATTGTGGTCGCGACAAGCCTCAAGTTCCCTCTCGCGCATCTTCAATAAACCCGAGACAGCTCGATGATTGTCTCGAGAGCTCTGAAGCTCCTTCTTGATATTAGCGATAGTCTTATTGTTACGTGCAAGCGTCTTGCTGTGGTCGTTTCGTAGATATCTGATGGTTCTGACCAAAGGAGAAATCTCGGTATCCATGGAGTCAAGGGAGCCGATGGTCGATCGTTCGACTTCATCCTCCGCATTTTCCAGTTCCAGCTCCGTCTTCTCATTATCTTCTTTGGCCTGTTTCAGCTGTTGCTGAAGCTTAGCCATCTCAGCTCTGCTGGCGGAAGTAATCCTGTCGTAAAGCAATCTGGCTTCACGAAGATCACGTATAGACTCCTCTCGCTCAGATTTGACTTTCGAGAGAGCCTCCTCGTGGCTCTTGCCTGTCTCATCAAGTCGCTGTAGAAGCTGGTCTCGCTCAGCTTCAACATCCGAAAGCTTTTTCTTCGCTTCTCTGTGATTCGATGTGAAGTCAAGTGTCATGCCCTCGCCCAGCCGGATTTTGGCGACTCCTTCCGCTTCAAAGTTGACCTGGACCTCATTGAGCCTTCGACGCTTTTCAGGGGGTAACTCCGCATGGTTCAGTTGGTTCTGAGATCCAGAAGAGGCCGGAGGGCTCCATGTGAACGAATGACCAGTGCCACTGGTTCCGAAGGAATAGTGTAGGCCGTTCAGCCGACCTGACGAGGTGGTCTGATCACGCTGGCTCATGATCGGTGGTGTTTCGTCTCGGTTTGTGATGAAGCGATGCTACTTTCGATGAACCTTTTCTTCGTTGACCTCCGCGAGAAGCATTCGTGGCCGTGACAGCGAGCTCCTTGATTACTAAATCATCAGCACGGAGCAAGAAGAATCGCGAGTGGAATAGTAAAGAGGGAGCTTACAGAGAAGCCAAGCAAGCTTGCGAAGACCAGATCTCGTATCGAGATAGGTCTCTTTGGACCTGAGAGGTGGTTTGACTTCCTCAATGTTGGTTGGTATTCGTTGAGGGAGAAGTCGTGACAAATATCTCCTCTGCAGCGCTTCACCCGGCTTGATCGGTAGAAGATGCCAGAGGCCTAGTGCAGATTGCGTTGCAGAAGTGAGAAGTTGGAAGGGAGATGCTAGTGTCGTGGTAAAAACGAGAGGCAACACCAGAACAAAGTCGGGAGGAAGCAAGTGGCAACTCTCGAAGCCGGATCACTTCAGGCAAGTACCTTACCAAGAAGAGAATGGAATGGGAGAGAACTGCCACACAGCCGATGCTCCTTCCAACGTTGGAAGCCGCGGTGGATATCACCTGCTTCAACTCACTTCCTTCGGAGGTTGGATGAGGTGCTCTTTCCTTCTTGGTGACGACTTCGTGATCATGTGCATCATGCTTGCCTGTTTCGTCTCGAGCACCTTGCCTTGATCAGCACTGTCTAAAGTACGTAAGTCTTTGGTCTTTCTCTTCATGTGTTGACTACATATGAGGAAACCACCTCTCAAGCAGTTGGCTGAAGTACGTAGGTAGAAGCTGCGCCCGTGGCAAGATCTACTTCTCTCTGATAATGTTCCCGACCAGCACATGAAGAATCAAGTCCTTCAGTGTAATCTGTGGCCCAGAACCTGCTGCAAATTACAAGTTCCTCAAACCAACCGAGGGAACTGAAAGCGTAGTAGGTCGCCTTCAATCGTGATAACCATCTCACAGTGGTCCCCATAAGGTATGCCGGTGCATCAGTGGAGTTGCAATGCCCCTCTCCAGGCAAGAAGACCATTTACCTTTCGCTCTCAGCTGTTGCACAACACAATACAGCAATTGCGTAGACTCAGTGATGAACTGAAAGTCTCGGATTCCTCTGGCAGTATAAGTAGCTGGTATCATAGGTTACTTCACGCAAGAGATACAACCGCAATCACCCAATTTGATTTGAAATGCATCCTCACACATCTCTGTCTCCTCCGTCCAGCAGAACGGAGCAAATGCTACTAGGCAAAAGATACAAAACGATCAAAAGAACAACAGATTGCCCAAAGGCGGAATCGAACCGCCGATCTTCTCATTGCGTTCACATATCAACCTCGGATCGTGAGATCCAGGATAGAACAAGGTACTAGTGAGACGCTTTACCACTGAGCCATTCGGGCTTTTGTATCTGTTGATGGTGATGCCCGGCGGTGAAGAGAATTATATTGCTGTGGGACACTTGATGGTGGATCTTTTCGCGGAAGAGGAGCCCTAATCGTGAGGATGCCTGCCGAAAGACCGTGGAGTTTTGACGACGAGTGTGGAGAACCGGCCGGCCATATATGGAGTACACTCGCCCGCCCAAACGGGAAAGTCGTTGATGGACGCGCTAGGGGGTGTTTCGCTGGGGGATCTGGGGGTTTGAATGTAGACTTACTTCAACGGCGAGCTGGGCCGAAATTTCGAGTAGGTGACATGTGAGTCGGGCTGCAAGATCTCACCCGTAGACTTCGAGATGGGAAATCTGGCTCTGTTGTCGATCCCTACATCGCAAGGCGCCCGCCGGTTTCCCAGGCATGAGACGGCACCTATCCGACATATAGGCATAAGAAGCAATATGTACCAAGCTGAACGACTCATCAACCTCCAAACCAGGCACTCCAAGACTATTACCCAATACGTCGGCAACCAAACCATCCCATCCATAAACCCAGCATCATCATCAGACGAGTCACATCGGGGCGCACATCTCATGCTGATCTTATAGACTTATAACCACTGCTTCGCAGCCAACTTCATGCGCGCGACTCAGCCCTTCAAGTTTTTTGACAGATTCACGAGCTGATATGGATAATCTCAGTCTTAACTCACCTCGCCTTACTCGCGAGCAGCCAAAGCAAAGTTTCCCACCTTGGTAAACCGTAAGAGAAATTTTGGTGTAGAGCTACCTAATACCTACGTATCCCAGAAACCACTCAACCTGCGACTTGACGTCTCATTCCCCAGACCCAACGCTGCCAAAAGTTCACATCCCAAAACACCGAACGCCCGTCAAAAAGCGAAGATCAATCGAACATGTGGGGTGGGGGTTGACCAGAGAAAGTATGGGTGTTGAAAGAAAAAAAGAAAGAAAAAAAGAAAAAAAAGGAAAGAAAAAAGTCGTTGTGCGCAAGAGATAGTCAGTACAGGAAGCCGAACCCAGTAATTGTGGCCGGAACCAAGCGTCAACCAAAAAAGCTTCTAGAAAACTGGTTCTGTAACTTACCATGATGACAATCAACGTCCCGTCTATCTGCGACGCCCAGCCTAAGCGGACGGCACCGTACCGACCTAGATACGGGCCCTGCGGCTCGCTGTGACGACCGTGCCGAACTCAGCAACCGCCCCCCGGTCCGGCGAAACCATCAGTTTGTCAAGCTTGGTTCTCCAAGCAAAATATCGAGTTCGGACTTGAACGCCCCGAGAGCCTTCCTCGGACTACCTTCGATCCGGGCCATTCTCTATCCAAAGTCACATAACATCACGAGAAATGTACTTCGTAATAGACATTGAGAAAGAGAAAGGCTGGTCGGCTGGACTAGTGCAATACTGATACTGTCCTCTATGTGCGGATACGATACGATACCGTACCTCCTTCACCTTCGACTCACCTGTAACCTCCTTCACCCTCCAAAACCTCGCATCCAGATAAGGTACCTCAGCAAGGTCTCCTCCGCGCCATGTCAATCATCCCGCACCATTGCCCGCAAACAAGCCACACCACACACTGTCACCCAAACATCCCATGTAAACTGGACGACCGTTCAAACCCCCCCCCCCCCCCTTCCGCGTCCCAATGGGCTTGAGGGGGAGAGCAAGGGCTGTAAGTAACCATTGACATCCCAACTGAGAAAGAATAAATCGCCGCCGGGAGGGGGGGAAACGCCTACCCTACCTTACGCGGTACACCAACACCAACCTACCTCCGCTCCGTCCCGGCGTCACACCGGAACCTCCTCGCCGAAACCGCCCCCAACATCCCGTCGTCCCAAAAATGGGCATTATAAGAAACGGAACAGGGTCTTTCTTCACTGTACATCATCCGAGAACAGTTCCAGGGTCCAATCAATGGAAACCTGCTCAGTACTCCGTACCATTCAACCCTTTATCGAATTGGTCTTCAATGTACCCCCAAAGAAGGAGCATCATCACAAACGGCCTATTCAGTATGACCGATTGCTCATCGTACCTCTCATCCACATGGACTTCTCCCCCCATCGTCAACCACCTTACCTCATCTAGACGCGACACAAATTCCCTCCCCTTTTCCTCAGCGATCCAAACATGACAACATGCTTGTCATCCCTCCGTACTACTTGCCCCGAAGCTGACAACTCCAGAAAACAAAAAAAAAGAACGAGGAAAAGAGCGTGTTGGAGAGTAGGAACCGAGAACAGCAAAACCACCACCAAAAAGGACAAAAAAACACCCCCCACCAGACTGAGACATCCAGAACCCGGCCCTCCGCCGCCCCCGAATACCACCCACATACACACAACCCCCGGTCCCATCCCATCCAACCCAAACCTCACCCGTCCACCACAGAAAACCACCGGTGCCGGTAAACCAGCCAGCTTGCCTCCCCAGCTCAAGGGAGTACGGGCTAAACGAATGGACGAGAGAAAGTAATCGCGTACGGAGCTCCTCCTGCTTCCAACTCCAAGTCTCCATACCTTCTCCAAGGTAACCCCCCCACCCCACGAGCATCTCCCCTCCCCTTCTTTCCCACATCAATCCATCGTCATCCAGTCCCAGCCTCGTCATCCGTCTCCCCCCCCACCTCAATTCCTTCAAAAGCACTCCCCCTTACAGGCTTCCAAGCAGCGAACCAGACTTCAGCTGGTCTTGGAACCGCGAATCGTCCCATCCCTAGACCCCTGAGGAAGGGTGAGCGGATGGATGGATCCTCCGTGCTTCTAGAAGGTCGCAATCCCATACGGATACCTGCACATACTGCGGTAACATAGCTTTGATACTTGATGAGATCGTCTCTGTGCGTCACTTCTCTTGGCAAAAAAGGCCACAAGCCCAGCAAACTTGCAAAATACCTTTGATCGTGCGATCCTCATTGGCGTATCAGGTCAAACACGCTTCCTACTTACTACGTTGGCAGTAGCTGCAGAACAGTAACTGCGCCGGGGCGAACAAAGAAGAAAGAGACACGGGGCCATGTGCCATATGCTGATTTGAATCAAGTGGTGAATAAATTTGATGGCAAGAATAAAAAAGAGCTCCTTTTTTGATAGCTTCCGCGACCTCTTGCGTCGCACAGAGCAGATGCCACCCTCCCAAACCCCCAAGAAATATCCTGCCTCCCACTCCCCTAAGGTGTTGGTTACACGTTCGTTCGCTCCAAGTCTCATCAGACCACACCCTGTCCCAATACAACATGACAAACAAGCACCTTGCTCTACTCCCCGCTTACACCCAGCGTAAGCCCCAGTTAGATAGACCCTAGATCTTCCAGAGCACAAGACTCCAGATAGCTTCGAGAAAAACAAAAAAGGTGCTCCATGACGGCATTTAATGGCCCGATGTCTCGTCCGGTCGAGGCTTGAGAGCTCGTACACAAAAAAATAAACAATATTTGCTCGGATCCACGTTTCGAGTTTGGACAGCCCAGGAACAGTTGCGAGACGAAACACCGTGGAGAAAACCCCCGCCCAATCGAACCCACACATTGTTTACGCGACAGTATTCCAAAGCAGTCATCTCTCTTCCGCGCAGCGCTATGCAGGTGAACCCCAACTCCGGTATGCTCTGGTCCTGTCGAGCTCCCAGCCCCGCATCCTACACGCGGCTGGTGTCCACTCAAATAATCGGATGGGAAATAAGTCAAATCGAGGAAGGATAAGCTTCGAGTATGATCAGTAGTGGTATCACCCCCTAAATGATACCACCAGGCGGATCATAGCCCGTTGTCGCGCCTCTGGCTCCGAGCCCGGCACTCCCTGGCTGTTCTGACGACGCATCAACTTGTGCGTTGTTCGTCTTTCGTAACATGAACATTGGTTTCTTGCCCTCCTTATCCAGTTGCTTGAACAGGATCAGAGGTTTCTCTTCCAGTCCCAAGCACCGCTCCTGATCACCGTAGACAATATACAGGGCATACTGATCCCAGGGTGCATTGATCTGGTATTTTTTGAGGGCGGCGGGCAGCACCTTGTAGCACGGATCGTCCATGCTGACTCGGAATGACTTGAAGATCTCGACAGATGCGTTGCTCGTACTTGGTGTGTCGGGTGCTGGGGTCGGTCCGCGTTTCGGCGCCGTTTGCTGTTCCCGGCCTTTGTAACCATGGTCGTTTTCGGCGAAGGTGGATCGTGTAGATGGCGTCGGGGCTTCGGAGCGGTCGGAGCGATAAGATCGAGAGCCCAAAGTCGTGCCGCCGTGGGTTGGAGGGGAGGTCGGCGAGGGCATGTTCGGGGAAGGATAGCCGGGTGAAGTAGCCGTACCTGAACCGTTCATGGCCGCCAGATGCGACGAAGATAGCACGGCTCGTTCCGCAGCATTTGAGGGATCCAGCGTTTGTTCCATCGACCTTTCGTGCGTTGTTTGCAGGTGTGAGGGCGAGTTGTTCTTGGGCGTCGTTCCTAGCATGATTCTCTTGGTGGAGTACTGCCGTTGCAGGCTCATCGACTGGGTGGAAGAGGGCGTTGGAGCGGGGGGCGATACGGTCTCATAGCCGTAGCCCTGACTGCTGTTGTTGGAAACGTTGGGTAGTGGCTGTGAAGAATCCTTTGCCAAGCGTAACGCAGGTAGCATATCCTCCCTCAGCCGTCTGAAGTCTTCGGAGAGTCGACGCAGGTCCTTTTCTACCATGCTCATCCGCTCGTCTCGTAGACGGAGCTGCTCAACCAGGTGCTTAATATCTTTGAGGGTTGCTGTCGCGTACTGGGCCTCGGCGTCGGCAGCTAGAAGAGCACATGTTAATGGATAGCACCTAGACACGAAATGCGGCGTCACCTACATAACGGCACATAATGGTCGCTCTCTACTGGTATGTCCTGGGCCTTCTTCACATCGTAAACGCTCTTCAGGATAGTGAGACGGTGGCCAACACTGGCTATACCCATAGATTTCAGGTCATCGTGTTGTAGAGCAACCAAGGCTTCGCCGACGATTTCGTTTTCTGGTTCAAGATGCAATCAGTCAGGTGTCACAATGCATGGAACAGTAGGAAGACGAATGGGGAAACCCACCAACGAAGCTGTCGGCATATTGCGCCAAACCGATTGTGCTGATGAAATCGGCGCACTCATCGGCGGTCCACTCGGAGATGATGGTCTCGGGCAGGCGGTCGGCGCTGCTACGGTGGCCGTAGGTTGTGGGCGTGTGCTCGTTGGAAGAGGGGAGCTCGGAGTCGATTGGAGAGCCTTCATCGTCGGCGACAGGCGAGTTGGGGCCAAGGCTGCGCTCGTATTCGTCGTCGGCGTCCGACTCTGCGTAGGCAGTGCCCGAATCGAAGTTCATGACTGACAGCGTTTGACCGGCGGCTCAGTGACGGAGGAGAGGAGAAAGGGTGGAAGGAGGTGGGTGCGATAGCACGTCGAGGAGGCGAGGCGACGATAGCAAAAGTCGGAAGGGCAGACGGCAATCAGAGAGAGAAAGCCCGGCTCGTCGAGAACAGGAGAGTAGGGCAGGCTGGAAGGCGAATCGGGGTCTTGGTGTCCTGAAGCGCCGGCGGTGCCCTCAGCGTGAGGAGGTCGTGGCGGCGGCTGCGGGGGCCCGTTGCAGAAGAGATTGGAAGTGTGGAAGCAGCACACAGGATTGGGCTGACAGGATCGGGATCGCGAGCATCGGTTCCTGGGGAAGCAGGTCGGCGTTTCTGTCCGACGAGTCGAGGTGAGGATGGCGATGTCAAAGGGGAGAAGGTGGGAGTTGAGATGCGCAAGAGCGAAAGAGGCTCAATGGGGAGAGACGCTACTTGGGCAGGCTAAGGTCGTACGTAGACTGCAGGAGTAAGAAGGACGAGTCGGTTCCAAGATGGGATCGTCGTTCGGGTTCGGGCTCAGGCGAAAAGGTGGAGGAAAGCGTCTGGCAGGCGCAGCGCAGACTGCAGTTAGGTAAGGTAATGGCTGAGGGGGAGGGGGGAACAAGGACCAGACATGAGGAGTACAAGAGATTTGGTGTGGGAATGCACTGGAGAAAAGTAGCTCTCGTGATGGAGGTGCTCCTGGTGCCTGGTGCCTTCTATGGTACCTTTGGGAGGTTCAGGTAGGTACTCCATAGTGTACTTACGCAGTAGGTACGGGCCCGGTAGGATACGGATACAGAGAGGGAAATGCTGCGTCGTTTTCGCCGTGCGGCGTGCGATGGCCTGGTCCACGTCCCAGTTGGGTGCCCGCCCACCTCTAGTGGAGCCGCAGGTGTGGGTGCGATCCAGGAATCCAGTGAGAGGTGCGCCCCGTTGCCTGTGCCAGCCCGGCCCTTACCTTAGCCCAGTACCCTACGGATACACAGTACATGGCAACATACTGGACCTTGCCTGTAATAATTATGTCCCGGATTGGCGTGGGATGAGGTGGACAGAGATGCGTGGCCAGGACAAGGAGACAAGGAGGAGGGCAGGAAACTCGTCAAAAGGAAGCAGAGTCTTCTTTTCGGTGTGTAGTCTGCTTGGGACCCAAAGCCGTACGTCTCAGTTTGGACGACCAAGTTGGGTTGAGTTAGTACTCACCCAGTCGAGCCTACCAACACCTACATAAGGTACCTCAGGTAGAGAAAGAGTAAGGTAGCAAGCAGTCAAGCAAGTTAGTGTAAGCGTCCGCGTCCCAGACATGCCAGAGAGACATCCTTGGTTGGATCCATGGACCAGTCACCATGAGCATGGCAAATGGAGAGACATACCTACAAACGCCGCCGCCTTGCCTGGACAAAGTTGTTTTTCTTTTCTTTTCCCCCCTTGACAGTGCATATGCAAAATGGTGGACGCAAGAGAGACCTGGCACACTTAGCAGGGCCAGTGGGCGTGGGCGGTAGTGACATGCAGATGCCGACGTCAATAATCGTCTCCCGGCTGGTTGCGAGATGATGATGCATTACCACCACCACCACCATCACCATATGGCATACGCATACTCCGTCGACTTCGGGGCGAAGTATGCGCCGTGCCGCCTTGTTCGGCCCATTGCCGCGGCCACAAGAGTCTGTTAGCGCCCAAGGGGGTCATCCCTGCGCCGTCCACGACATCCAATTGCTTGCTTGAAGATGCCTTTTGCCGTCTGCCCGCCTCCCCACCAAGTAGGTAGTAAGGTACTGTACGATTGATTCTTTCTTACATCCAAGTATCAGTCCTTACAACCACGTTGGCGTCCGAATCCCTGACGCCCTCACCAAAGCATGCCCTGGCCTGCCTGACACATATATGTACCATACGGATAGTCCATAGCAACTAATATAGGCCCCGGCTATGGAGCCGAAGCCGAAGCTCGACCTTACGAATACCACATGTCTCTCCCAGCTCCCACCAGTTCAGTTCCTTGCTTCTCTCTCAGAAACAGTCTCCGCACACTGCATACGGTGTGTGTGCATGGTATCAGCGCCCAAAAGAGCTTGACGACTTTTCCTCCTGCTGCATCCAATATCGGTGGCATGTTCCAGAAGCCGCGCCATCTGCGTTCCTAATCTCCCCCATGAATCTGTGCCACCCAACGACAACCAAGTAAAATCGAGTAAACAACGGAATAACAAGACAAAGGGGGGAACTTGACCCAGGAAAACAAGAGATTTTTCCAATTTTTTGACGGCATGCAAAATGAAAAACGGCCCCGATATCTGCCAACCCGTGCAACATTGGCACGGCGCCCCTCTCTGTCGGTAATTGGGACCGAAGAGCCCAGCCGTTGCCAACCGCTAAGCGATAAGTGGACCGACCCTCTTCCTCGACTCTCCCGTTTCCCCCGTTTCCCGTTCAGTCAAAGGTACACCGTCCACCCCTCCAAAACGCCGCGACGCCCTGCCACCGTAACTTCCGTAATTTGAGAGATATCGCAATGGAAGTCACCTCCCCAGGGCTGGTCTCTCACGGCAGGAAGGAAGAAATATGACCAGTCGAGAGTACTTTACCTTATCTGCACCTTACTCTCGCCTTTCCCCCATTGAAATGACGACCTTCGTGTCAAATACAATTTGAACTCCTGCCAGGGGAAGCGACGCGGCTGCATCCAATCTCAATCTCAAGGTACTTAACTTAAGTCAAGGCAGCTCAAGTATCCGTACGAATACCCGACGGGGACGGAGTGAGTACCTCCTTACTTTGACTTTAACCTCGACAGACAAACACAAACACCAGGGCCGAGCACTGAGCACGAGAAAAGAGAGTCAGGAACCCGCAGCGAGAGCCATGCGGTGAAGTCATTATCAGATGCTTTTGCCGTTTCTTCTTTGCTTTACCGTCCAAGCACCGTCAAGTCTTCCACCAACCACATTGCTCAATCCCAACCACTGCCCGCATTTGTCTACCATTCTGTATGGAATGACCTGGATCACCTTCCCCTCCGTCGAGACTCGAACCGCCCGTCCTGACCTGCCTGACCTTACCATCTCTGCTAACCTCAAACCTCCCAGGAACCTCGGCCAACCGTGTGCCACACATCGTGGGAAGGGTTTCCTGACCTAAACCTGCTTCACAGCAGAGAGTCCCGACCGTCGAACCCCCACACCTTTCATTCGCCCAAACGGCCTCTTCAGGGTTGATACCAGCACCCGTCAATATGCAAACTCTCTTCCAGAAACACGCCAGCTACCTCATCTACACGACCTCACCTTGCGAAACGTTGCTTAATCGACCCAGTATTCCCCTTAGCTGCTCCATTCATAGCTTTCCATCCGGCCACCTCCAAATCCAATTGGCAAAGAAAAATGCCCGACTGGACACTGAACCTGGTACCAACTCGAACATGCTATCGCTCTATTACAACCATGCCTTCTACTCTACTCCGTACGGATACAGCACGCAGCTTGTCATGTCCAATGAATCCGACTTGGCTGGATAAGAGACATCATAGAAGTCCGGGTGCCGGCTCCCCGACAGTCCAAACGGAACAAATGTCACTCTACGGATACCTTACGTTTCCATTGTGCATTCCGAATGGGGTTCCGTCAGTCTAGGCCTCCATCGCCCACTGTCGACGCGTTCGACGCCTTGGAACCCGTTCCCACACTTCCCCAGCTGCTCCATTTGACACACGACGATGGGTACGGGCAGCAGTGTATCAACACGCAAATGAGGCATTTTAGCCCATAGAGTCGTCGTCGCCGTCATATCGAAAGGCCCAGCCAACGATATCAATATGCGCGACTAATCATTTTGGGGGCCTTGCATCATTTAACATTATGGATAAGCACCCACCCGCCGCCGCCGAAGCTTCCAAGCTTGTCAACTTAGGACCAAAGGCCGTCGTCTTGGCACTCTATAGCAAACCTGCTGTCATCACGTCCAAGCTACCATTTGCAGTCTTTTGGACCCCCAATTTTAAAAACAGGAGGCTGCCAGCAAGGGAAGGCGAATTGACCAAGGCGCTGATAAGTGCACCCGACAGATTGAGCCCTGCGTCGATCATCCTCGGCTCCCTCTGGACTCACGACTCATCCCCTCCTTTGACCTTTTTGTCCGTTTGGCCGTCGTCTCTACTCTCTACGGATACCTACCCATCCAACATTGTTCATCGCAACTCTTCACCGCGGCCCAACCACCCTGTTGTTTCCTCTATCTCGTCCAAATTCCTTCTAAGCCTGGCTACTCATCCTCGGCTGAAACATCTAGCTTTGATGGACAACATTTTGACCGTATCCCACTTCCCAGGTAGTCAGGTCCATTCACCACGACACACGTCCGGAGGGAGGAGGAAAATCAAACGGCCCCCAATGACACCCCGCTTAATGTGTGAGTTTCAGGCTCTCTGCCGATCCATCCGGGCAGAAACACTAGAGAACATCCAAATTCATTCATCGCGAACCTCTGTCGCGTCGAGGCTAGCTCTTGCGCTGTGACGTCGCCAATCCGTACATGGCAGAACGTTTCGCGCCAGCAGACGCGCTACGGAGAGGATAAACCCCAAACCGGGTCGCGAGGATGGACCTAGGGCCCAGTCTTCCGGTTGTCACATTTGACATTCTTTCAGAGAAGTCCAAGGAAAGCTCTCTCTATCGTATGATTCCTGAGAGCACCCACATTGAACCCCTCGGACCATCTCGTATAACCAACGCTATCCTGAATCGTCAACGCCTCTGCCCTGGCGTTCATGTCACCATCGACCCTAGCGTATGCTACAGCCTACATTATCCTGGAGGCATTGCACGACATTCTTGACACCTCGCCCACTCTTGTCTGGTATTAGATATGAGACGCAACCTTTTCCGTCTCACATTGCTTTCGAGACGAAGTGAGAAAGACCAAAACGCCGGATCTTATCGTTCATCTCAACAGCTCCCTGACGCCGTGCCCACCCGCCTGTTCATGGCTCACAATGTGATGCCTCTCGACATTGGAGAACTCACTATCCATACGCGAAGCAGCCGGAACTTTCTCCGGGTGCCAATCGCAGTGCTGTCTTCAGAAACAAGTCCCATCATCATTTCCCAAGCGTCCGAGACCCCGTTAGCAAACATCCATCAACCGGCCACCCGTCGCACTGCACCACGGTCGAACGCGCATCCAAACCTAATATGGCAGAACCGGCTCGTCGCTCACTCCGGAAGAGGCAAAGACAACTGTCCATCTCTTCCACAGATCCCCCCTCTCTTGTCGAAAATCCCACCCCAGATAGACTTTGACGCTAGAGCCTCTCCGATCTGACGCCCGCCACTTTTCCCTACGCCAGACTTACATTAGGATCCGAACCACGGCTCGCTCGGCCGAGTCCCTCCTTTTGGCCCCCTTTTCTTTTTCTGTCTTCCCGCCTCTTTTCTGTTTAAGCTCGCAGCTCGCAGCTCAACCGCACATCATCCGCTATCATTCCGAGTGGCCCCTCCTGAGTCCTGACCACGGACTTGAGCTTCCCGAAGCTAGAGTGTCCGTGCCGAAAGCTTTTTCGACTTTTGGCTCAGGTGGAGACTATCATATTTTCGACATCGCCATTCCCGGGTCTGTGGTGCCCAAAGTAAACTTTGGCATCTCGTGTGCGTGTGTGCTCTGTCATCTCAAGCTCTAGAACAGGCCTTCTTGTTCCTGTTCAGGAACTGGCTTAATCTCATCTAGGGAAACAAACATCTTTTTGGCGACTTTACTCTCGAGATTGGGAGAACCTTGCGTACCACCCAAGATACTCACTCATCCGAGCTCCGAACTGACCTCATCTCATCTCACATTCTGCATCTTCTCGGTCATTAAATCCTCGTCGTCGCACCAGAGCTGCGTGTCGGGCTTCCTCGGTGCCCATCGGGCTTCTCTGGCTATTCCCGTGTCTCTGTAGAGCGAGTGCGAATGACGATCTTAGTCACGCAGCCGGTTGCCACCGAGTGATCCCTAAACTCTAACCAAGACCATTGTCTTTGAAGCCAAGAGGCTATAATTCAGCCTTCATTCGCAGCAGACGCACCGTGTAAGCAGAGAGATAGCGGCAGTTCAGTCGTGCGGATCGTACAGGGTAGCCCGTCATTTGCCCGGCGGTTCTTGATATCATCTGGATTTCAGTTAGTCCTTTCCAGGGTGACACCTCCCTCTCTCTCCGCCTTGCCATTACACCAGGGAATTGACCGTTCACTTGAGCATGCTGTATTCTTACTGGAAAGTTTCAGCTTATTTGAACCTGTGGAGTGAGATTGTCTCTCAGTGATGTCCAACCGGAAAATTCTGGGATAACTGACTGGAGTCGTACTTATTGCATTGCAGCATCCTGCCGGCTAGCTTGGAACTATAGTCAAGAACATGAGAAATCTTGATGGGGGGGCTAGGATAGCTAAGAATCATCAGGACATCGCTTGATTTCCCGGCCTATCATTCCACGAGGTTTGGTTCTCACCAGACTTCTAGATGAGGTACTGGGTCTCACTGCAATGTCCAGTTTTTGTTATGGGATGCTACCTCTGTTTTCTCAACCTAGAAATAGTGTCATACACTCGTAGCCTATTGCCAACAAAACCGACCAAGCCAATACTGACAAACTTCCTCCCTATTCCAACACTCCAATCCATAGGCAATCCCACACAGTGTGGTGTAATTCATGCAATCCTTCCACGGTCATCATCCAACAACACCATCCTGGTTCTCGATCTCCGTCTCGACCACCCAACCAATCCATCCAAGAGCTTCAAACATTCTGGAGTACCAAGTTCGAGACCGCAATACTTCATGGAGATCCATGAGAGACACATTCTTCCGCGAATCACAGCTTTGGAGAAATCCTTGCTCGCTTCCTCATGGCCGCGGCGCCCGAAAGGGCTGGGGAATCGTCACCGTGCTGCTCTTGCTTCATCTTCCTCTGCACGCCCAATTTGGCTAATCCTCTCATTCTCTGCTTCTTCATAGGTCCCATTTCTCTGTGATCAGTCTTGACGTGGTCCTCCACGCTTTCGGCGTATGCCTCGGAGGTTTGCCCTTCATCTGCAACTTGCTTTTTTGCGTTGCTAGCGGCAGCCACAGACATGTCACCAGATCTGTTGGCGATGTTGATGATATGTTCGAGCATGGCCGACTGAGGCCCGTGAGACGATGTCACCCGATCAGATCCCTGAGTCACTTCATGCTTGTCCACTTCAGTGCGAAGCGACGCCTTTGGGTCTCGTCTGCGCTTCTTCTCTGGCTCCTGCTCCTGAATTGACTTCGGGCTTAGAACACACGAGACGCTTCTCTTGGAGACACGCGTCTGCCAACCACCGGGGGATCTGAATCCCTCGACAAGCTGTCTTTCAGATGTGTGGGGGTTACTTCCCGGGTGCGCTTGTGCGCGTCCAATGCGACTATGCATGTGCAAGCCGCCGGTCTGCTGGCCCTTATGCTGCGAAGATTGAGCCTGGCGACGGCGTCCCAATCCTTCGCCCTCTGAGACGGTAGAGTGGCTGTCAGTGATCAGGTGATCGTTTTTACTGTGTTCAGTGGGTGGCTGGGCTGGGGCAAGATCACGGGCGTCAGAGTCATTTCCTGTGAGATTGTCAACATGTGTGAAGTCATAGGGGGGAGTCATCAAAACAGTGTAGCACTTACTTCTAGAACGGGGCAGGCTTGATGTCGATGATTTACCATGGCTGGATGTACCTCCTGTCTTGGGGTTAGGGAGTGTATGGCTCCTAGGCCTACCCGTTGTTAAACCAGTTGGAGCATTCTGCCCAAGGGATGCAAAAGAGCTGTCACTGTCGTAATCGCATTCACGGTACTTGTTGTTGGCGAACCCAGATAAGGGTTGTTCGGGCTCATATAAAGGACCTGGCAAAGTCTTGATGGCCACCAAGCCCATCCTGTCGGGGTCCATTCTACGCTGATTCAACACTTTCGGCTTCTGACTTGGTGTTTTACGGATGGACCGACCCGGTGTAGCGACAGACGCCTTCTTCGTTGTTGAAGTGCTCGCAGAGGCCTCCACTCTTTGCTTCTTCGAGTCTCGAGTCGACAATGACTTATCGGGCGCAACATCATCCCGACTTCGCTTCGAACCTTTGGTTGTCGTTGACTGAGTGTTCCCTTTCAAGTCGTTCTAGGTCTTTGAAGAGGTATCATCCTGACGTTGGGCTCGACGAATTGGCTTGGCTCCAGGCTTCGGAACGGTCACAATTCGGATGGAAGGCTTGGGCGCCTTGGCCATCATGTTGGATAGAAGACTGAAGCTTTTCGGCTCGGTCGGTTTCTTTGCAGTAGTCACAGCTTTCTCTTTACCGGTGCCTTGGGTAGTGTCCGATCGCCGCTGCGTTGCATCATTCTCTCCCGGCTGCTTCTTTGGAATGCTCTGGGGCTCAGTACCATGGGTGACTGGAATTGACGAAAAGGTTGATGCGCGAGGGCGGGAACTCGTGTTTGGCTTGGTAGCTGCGACTTTTGTGTGCTTCCGTCTATTCGTGCTGGACGAAGTGTGGTACTCCTCGTCCTCGTCTTCAAGAATGAAGCCGGACACTTTGATCGCTGCAAATCCCTCCTGGATGCCGTCGGCCGAGGCTGTTGTGGTTGCAGGCTTTCTGCTTGAGCTTCCGTGACTCTCGCGTTCTTCGGTGTCGGGGAAGAAGCCACTTTTGAAAGCTTGACTCTGCAGCTTATCTAAGAACCTGAGGTGCTCGATGTGGTCGCAGTTGGCAGGCGACGGAATTCTCAGAGGCGAAGAAGGTGCGTGGAGGTGTGCAGTCGGGTTATCAAGTAGTGGGTTGCCACGATGTAAACCACCTTGGTCGACGAACAGGCTATCTGCAACCTGAGATGTGGCTCCGGGTTTGGCCGTAGCGTGTAGACTCGAAACGGTAGGAGACTTCTGGAAACGAGCTCCCGCAGTATTCTCTCGATAGCTCCTAGTGAAGTCGGTTGATGGCAGAGAGGACGCATTACGGCCAGACTTCCAGTGAGCACTGGAAGCAGGGTGTGAGCTCAGAACCCTGTGCCGGCTGTGGTCGATGGCTGACGGAAAGTGCGATTGCGAGTGAATCGGACCGCAAGAAGAAGCCATGGCTGGAAGTTCGGGAAATGGGGTTCTTGGAGTCTGCTGATAAGCTGATGAGGAGCTACCGAGCCCTCTATAGGCTGCCCGAGAAGCTGACGATTGCTGAATGTCGTTGGTGCTATGTAGAGAATACTCGGGCTCTGCAACGCGCCCATGCGATGAACTTCCTCGTGGGATAGTATATTGTCGCGGCGTGATGTTGGAAGGTCGAAGGGATGGAAGCGACGCGTTTCTTTGCTCGGCAGGACGCCGAGGTGGCTTCTGCTGTTGGCCCGATGACCGACGAGATGCGTCAGAAGCGCGGTGAGTGAAGTTGTCTTCCATACTGAGCAACCACTCGGCGAGCAGATTTCCGACGATTATATCTCTCGCGTGCTCTGGAGGCAAGCTCGTGGCCAAGGGATTCGGCGCGGAATGGTGATGCTCAAGAAAGACGCGATCAGAGAGGTGCGACAATTTGGTTAACGCGGAATGAGGAGGAATGGCAAAAAGGACCAAAAAGACGACACTCCAAAACACCAAAAATACAAGACAAGACTCGAAGAATGATTCTCTGAGCACTGAGCAAGTAAGAATGGTAAGAGAGTGTGATGTGTGAAAGTGGGAGGTTGGCGATGTTTGTGCGGGTCTCTGGGCAACGCGATGTGGTGGTGGAAGGATGAAAAAGTAAACAAATTTCCGCGATGAGGAAGGTGTAGAGATGAGTAGCGGACGAAGTGAGAAGAGACGGCCCGCCCTGAGGTAATAAACACCCTCTGACCGCCTTCTCACCGTCCTCCTGAGGCGGTTCTGAGGTAATCACCGCCTTTTGAACGACCTCGCGTCCGCGTGAGGCGGTCGCGCGTACGCGTTTCTCGTCAGAAGATCAGATGGAAGGAGCTGAGTGCCTGAGGTGCCTAACGTTGAGATAGCTAGGGAAGGAGCGAGTGAGCAAGTGAGCAGAGGGGACTGAAGGTGGCTCTCAGAAGGAACGCGAATAGTACCAAGGAGAGAAGGACGGATAGATTTGTAGGAGGAATCTGAGTACGTTGCTCCCTGCTTGCCTTTTGTCGATATTGACCCCAGAAAGAAGGAAGAGGGCTTCGAGAGGATTTCCATAGGACTTGCTTGACCTTGGAGTCAACCTTCTCCAAGGTAGCCCCTGATGTTGATTTGTCTCGCGGGTTTGATATCACTGGAGCCGTCATCCTTAATTTTTTGAGCCTCAATATCTGGCATCCAAGACTGTAGGGCTGCAAGTCTCGCCTTCTTTCTGAAACGGTAGCGTGACCGGTCAATCAAGGAGGTAAAAAGTACAGCAGGGGAGACATTGAATGGGGGCTTCGTCGCCATCTAACCACCATAGGTCGTTGACTTCATATTTCAAGGCTCATGGTATATTTAAAACAACAATGACTAATCACTCATAGATTCAAAAAAACAAAAGAGTTAAAAACCCCCTCCGTCCACCCCCTCCCCGGTGCTGAACTGGGGGGTACATGAGGGCTTGTTGTTGTGTATTCAGGTGGTATAGGCAGACAAGGTATCAGATGAGAAAGTTTGCGATGTGGCTGGATGGGAAGGAAGGCGCGTACCGGGGTGGCTGACCTGGTAACCATTGAGGTGTAAGCTTCAAAAGATTGCTTACCTATCTATATCAAGTTTTGTCTATCTGCTCTGTGGAAATTATCTGATATTGGCAAAAGAAGCCACGATATCTTCGACAAGCCTGACCAAGTCTACGCCCTCTTGCTAGCCTTCTGCAAAGCCTTGCCAAAGTGCTCAACAAAGTCAACACAGTCCACAAACGTATTATACAATGGTGCCGGCGCGACTCTAATGACATTCGGCTTCCTCTCATCAATGACCACCCCAACTTGTTCAAAGTACTCCATAACACCATCCAACAGCCCATCCGCGAGCTTCAAACTCAACTGCGCGCCTCGCTCCTCGCTCCCCGACGGCGTAATAACGCTAAACAACTCGGGGCCGAGCCAGTTCTGCAACAACACCTCCAAGAACGCCGTCAACCGCTTCGACTTTTCACGCAGCGGGCCCATGCCACCAGCGAGCTCAAACACCTCGAGAGACGCGCACAGCGACGTGATATCCAGCACGCTCGGGTTACTCAGCTGGAACCCAGCCGCGCCAGCCGCCGGGTGGAACTTGGTCGCCATCACGAAGCGCGAGCCCTTGTCGTTGCCCCACCAGCCGCCGAAGCGATTCACGTAGCCCCTGTCCGAGTCGGCGTCCTCGACCGAGGTGGTGACGGCCGTGTGCCGCGCGTTGACGAAGGCGCCGCCGATGCAGCCCGGTCCGCCGTTGAGGTACTTGTACGTGCACCACGCCGCGGCGTCGACGTCCCAGTCGTGGAGCTGCAGCGGCACGTTGCCGACGGCGTGGGCGAGGTCCCAGATGATGGGGATGGAGTGCTTGTGGGCGAAGGCGGTGATGGTGGGGATGTCTAGGAGTTGGCCGGTGTAGTACTGGATGCCTGGCAGGAGGATGAGGGCCGTGTCTGAGGCGTGGGCTTCGATGACGGAGAGGATGTGCTGGGTTGCGAGGGTTGGTTCTACGGCGGTTGAGGGGGGCTCTATGCAGACCATTGACGTTGATGGGGAGAGATCGTGGTGTCTGATTTGGGTCTCCACGACGAACTGTGTGAGTTGTTAGTCTCATTCATCCTTGGCTGGGTCACTCGTCTGAATTTGTGGATGAGAGCTGACTTACATGGTCACTTGGAAAGGCCTTGCTCTCCAGGATAATCTTATGTCTGCCATCCTTCTTGGGCTTGTAGAAAGCCGACATGAGAAGATGGAGATTAGCTGTCAAGGTCTGCATCACGGCGACCTCGAACTCCTCAGCGCCAACAATGGGGGCCATCATTTTGGCCGCCCTGGCGTCGACGTCGAGCCATGTCGGCAACGGGGAGTCTTCCAAAGGCTTGAAGTGTCCCTGTACGCCCTGCGTCGCCCAGGTAGACAGATACTGCTGTATCCTCTCGGCGGTGCGCTTAGGCTGCAGACCGAGGGAGTTCCCGCAGAGATAGGTGCATTTCTGCTGACCGGCCGCTGATGTGGCAGAGCCGTCATCTTTTCCTTGGTGAAGGACGTTAGCTCCAAAATCCAGAGGTCATCGAGTCTAGAGGCATTGAGTGGCGAGAGATGGCATGTGAAAGGGAACTAGGTGTCTTCTGATGCAGTAGAATGATGCTCCCGATTGCTGACCTTTCTTGGCAAGGGTCTTGCTGGTGATGTCTTGCTTCGTGGGGATGACAAACTCGTCCCGCGTGTGCCTCAGCGCATCTTCCTGGTCCAAGGCCTCGGCGCGTTGCCTGATGGAAGCGTCGAGGAGAGGATCCATATCGAGGGGGGGGCGGATTTGGTAGTGTGGATGACCTTTGACTAAGATGAGGTAGGACAACCTGTACTCTGACCTTGGCTTGAGGTTGGAAAGAGAGATTGATGCCGGGGGTGGGGAAATCGAGATGGCCGTCGATATGTCTCGGTTCTTTTCCTCCGCTTCAACTTGAATAGCAAAGTAAGAGTAAGTAACCCTTGATCGTGTGTGTCAAGATCCTTGAAGTTAAGATGGCCTCAGAATTGCTTCGTTTACGACATACAGCATTAGGCACGATGGTTAAAAGTAGGTCAGCAGTGTTTCCCAATGAAAAACACGAGTGAAGTCATGATGCTCCAATGAATAATTCCCGCGCGTGCACCCCTCCTCCAATGAGGGGTTCGGATGGAGCTCCGGCTGGCGGGGCCACGCCGCGCAGCTGGCAACGTTCACCACCTGTGGCTCACCTCACCTTACACCTTGACCAGTGACCACTTGGGAGCGATGGCTGTATGTACCTCGAGCTTGAGACGGATGGAGCTGACCAGTGAGAGACCAAGGAAGCATCAGCTGTTCCCACCATGTAAGGCAGTTGGAGAGAAGAAGAGGTGAGACGAAGGAGCATTCACCATCTCAGCATCAGAAGGGGGAAGGTATCCTCTTTTTCTCCAAAAACTTGTGATTTAGTGGACCTCTGAAAAACTTCGTATCGTGTCGTGATGCTGAAAATCAAAGATGCAATTCGATTCAAGGTAAGATACTTCCCTTCAGCCCTCGACAAGTACCTCGACAAGTACCCACGTTCCAAGTACCGTATACTTTGTCTCACTGCATCAATTGTACATATAATATCTCACAAGTTTCAAAATACCCAAAACCTGCATCGTGACAAGAAAAAAAAAAAGAGAAAAAAAAAAGCCTTCTGTTCCATTCCATCATCAAAACACAATAACGTGCTCGAGCTAAACGCCTCGGATTACGAAATATGGGAGTTTTCATTACCCCCTCGAAACCCCGGTATTACCCCCTCATTACCCCATAGACTGGCCACATGCGGGGTTTTGCTGACTCGTCCCTTGGCATAACCCTCCGCAATCCGAGTCTTGGGGGGGAGCATGAGATCGTTTGGGTCCAGAACAGGGCCCGGTACCTTGGAGGCGTCAAGGTAAGGTAGGTAAATCAGGTACGGCGGCGGCGGCGGCGGCGGCGACGGCATGGCGGGGGTGGGCTTGCGTCTTGTCTCGCCCTTAAGTTTTTTTTTCGTTGTCTTTCTTTCGTGGAGGGCGGTGCCTGATGGACCACCAGATACGTAGTCTACACTCCATCCAGATGGAGCCCTATTGGGGAAAGAGGAGGACCAAGTTGACCAACGGGATACGTACGACTAACCTAAGTAGATGGAGAGGGTGGGATGGGAAAAGGTATGTGAGGTAGGTAGCACGGGGTCGGACGGAGCCAGAAGACAAGTCCGTCCCCCTTCCCCCGTGAGCGTCCGGGGATCCACGGCGGGTTATTCGGGGGGACAAGGTGACTCTGGGGGAATGGGAATGGGTGGTGGGACGTATGGCTCCCACCCTCAACCCTCCTCCGACGGATTTTGATGTTCCACGGAAGGAGTTACGGCACGGGGTTCTTCGGCAGCGGCGGCGCTTGGCGGGTACAATATAATTATTCAGAAGTAGACTGGCTGACCGGGGCTTACTTTCCTTGCAGATCCTGAAGCAGTCTGGCAAGCCTGGGCCGGGCAAGGCCCGTTTCGTATTCAAGCCACCGATTTCTTTCTTTCCCTCCTCGTTATCATCCATTGTGACACGGAATTACGCTGTGTAGTGTCCCAGAATTAAGCAAGTCTCTCCCAGAGCCATGGAAAGATAAGCACCGGGTGCCCAGCCCGAACATCTTGGAAAGTTTTCCCCCCTTTTCCCGGGTGGGTGGTCGGATGATCTTCGCACTTCGGGTTCCCCTTCAGCCTCATGCAAGTTTGCTCTGCGGGGTGGTGGCAGGGGGGGGATAGACATGAAAAGATATTTTCCCTTCCCGCTTATTAGCACCAGAGTACGGGTTGGCTGGGACAGAGAGGGCTGAAGCAAATAGAGAGATGGAAGTAGACGCCATTGGGGCAACCCTCTTTCACAATTGATCGGTTACCTACTCCGATGGAAATGGAGCCTAGCATTAGTAGTGAAAAAAGACTGAGAAGGGTTAAAGATAACGGTCGCAATGTACCTTTTTCACAAGGATACTCTGTAACTGAATTACTAAAGATGGAATTTGGGAACGGAATGTTGCAGATTTCTGAGGATACGGCATGAACTAAGGTGGTACCTCCGAGTCCTGCGAGGACCAGAAAGCCACCTACTTACTACCTGAACAATACACTCGTGGGTTCTCTTGGCCGGAGTTTGACTCGACGTTGGGACAGTTTCGGGTGGAGATCCCGACCCTCCGGCCGTGATCACCAACGTTTGTGTGTACGGAGCAGGGAGGCTCTGCTTGGCTACCAATTTGTTCTATTTTTCGCTCTCTCTCTCTCTCTCCGTGACAGGTTGCCAGTACTGCGAAGTCCTTCCCAAAGCCAATGCTGTTTCGAGTTCTAGACAACGATGGAAAGAGGCCTCCCTCACAGTGGGCGTAAACGGCGTGGAAAGTTTTCCCCTCCCCCCCAAGAAATGCCTCTGGGTTACTCAATCGGGAAGAGCCATTTTCTCTCTCTCTCTCTCTCTCCAGTATGGTTCAACTTCCAGTGACACACATTCGGAATTCAGGTTTATCTGATCGTGGTACCTTGCCGGATCGGAATGGGGAGACGCGGCACGATGCGCCCGTCGATATGCACAATAGAGGAGGCCTCTCTTTTTTCCGTTATGCATATCCAATCAAGATAGTAAAGCGAGAATAGCAAGAAGGAGAATTGGGAATGACTGGACAGACTTTTCTCAGGTACTTGTACGGATACATTTGTGGCGGCCGGCAATGGGCGCGATGCCGCAATTATTGCAACAGCTTTTGCAACTTTGCGACTAAAGCAAGGGGTAATGCAAAAGTACAACACCCCAAGTATCGGAGAATATTATTATTTTTTGGTTATTTTTTGATTTTAGTTCTTTTGCTCTTTCATTTTTGGACTTTTCAAGCCCTCACAAGTCAGTCTTCGTTTCCATGTGTCATTGATCTGCCTTCTACACCCCCAGACGGACTCAAACAGAGCTTCATCGTGACCTGGGGCTGGAATGGTGCCATTGTCCTGGCACCCTGAGCCGGGCTTGACGGGACTTGGAAATTAAACAACGAGTGCATCGTGACCTCTCGTGGTTTTTTTTTTCTTTTTTTCATGGTCCGTGATGGGTTGACGGCTGACTTGCCCCAAGCTTTCCCCCGGGGAATGCAAAAAGGGGGACCTAGGATAAATCTGGGGAACGATAGAGGGTAAACTTGGCAAGTGACGATCCGAGTTTTTCGCACCCCTCGTGGCTGTGCTATTGGAGTCACGATCTCTTCACTCCGTCAATAGTAAATGGAGGCGTTGTTGGGGTAAAGCGGTCGCCGATACCTTCACCTTAACCCCTATTTTTGGCAGCGGCAATGTGTGCGTGCGTGTGTGTCCCACACCTCGAGGTGTGAACAATTCTAGAACTCGGTGGACTGGAAGGTCAATCGGGAGTGCGGTGAGGGATAGATCGTGACACATCGTGTCTCTTGACCCTTCCAATGGGGACATGGTTCACGTCTCAACATTGAACGACGTGATTGAGCATCGAATCCACAAAGTGATGCAGACACGGCAAACTTGAGCATTCCATTCCAAGCTTGCCGTCAACTATCCCCAAACTCTTACCCCATAACATTCACCTGGTATATTAGCACACAGGAAGGGGGGCTCCGCAGGTGACGGACGGCGCAGTGCTTGTTCTTTTCCCGGAAGGGGGTAGAGACTCAGAGAGAGAGAGAGAGAGAGAGAGAGAGAGAGAATTCGAGTTTGGACGAAACAAAAGGCCTTGCCAGACCGCGTGACGATGGTTCAGGGCTTTGGAGACCGGCAGTGTTTTACAACGGCTTTTCCATTTAGTAATGGCGATGCGAGATCGTGGGGCATCAAATTGGATCGTCGGGGCCCCGGCCTGGGGGCTAGACTTGTAGACTGGAACTTTGCGGCGGTACCGTAGGTAATACGCCGTCGAGACGCGAAGGGAGAGAGAGTATCGTGAGTTGTGAACCATCCAAAGTACCGAAAAGCTGGGGTAAAGCAGAGAAGCAAGCTGCAAGAGTCAGAGAGAACGGGGGCATTGTCCAAACGAACTAGGTTTCCCATCATCCAGAGTTCCCAACTTCCCCAATGGGGCCAAGTCGGACTGTCCCGTGGCCATCTCGGGGTCGCAACTGGCGTTAGCGCGGGCTGCACGATCAAGTAATCTGGGGGTAATGGAAACTCGACGATTCGGGGGCCCGGTCGCCGTCGGTTGGCAGATGGAACAAACAACAACCACGGGGCAAGATGCCAGAGCCATGCTAGGGCGGCTGTGGGGAAGGGAGACATGAGCCGCCGCGGCGCTCCCGGGCCACTCGGGGCTGGAAGGGTCAAGGGCCATCCCCAACATTGTTGTCGTCTCGTGATCTTTTACAGGCTTGACTCCTTCTCCCTCGGGTCTTGGACCCTGGGGGGTTCTGGTTCTTGTGCTGGTCTAGACTGTTGTTGGGAGGCTTTCCTGGGCGTGCGTGTGTAAAAGGAGGGCTGAGCTGTAGTTGTGCACAAGATCTGGGGTAAGAGAAATGTGGAAAACAAATAGTCTCGGTTTCTGACGAGGTTGTCGGAGAGAGTGTGCGTATGTGTGTGTGAGAGTGTGAGAGAGTGAGAGAGACGCGTGTAGTTGCCTTGGAGCACTTAGAAGCCCCGGTTCTTGTGTCCGTATGTTGCAATTGACAGTCTTAGGACGAACATGGCTGTTGCTATTAGTGTCCATATTTTTATTATGAGGTCTGGGCCGTTGCCGGGGCCTTGTTGTTATCATGCCGTGATTTGCAAGGGAAGTACGTTAACCTTACAACAAAGATGTAAATGTCGTGTGTACTTGAAAAGATACATATTGCGTCTTTTGATTAGATACATTAGCATTGCAAAAGTAGGTATCGTGGGTATCTAGCATGGTACATATTCAGAAACCACTTACGATGGAGCCAGGTACGACGAAGTTGGTTCTTTTTCTGGGGCTTTAGAGGGGCAATGGCTGGGAAGCCGTCTCGAAGCAAGGCCGGCGCCTGACAAGCGGGCGTTTTGAGCTGCAACACGAATAAGCGGTATAAAAAAATAAAAATAAAAGGAGAGGTACTCGCGACTTGTTCAAATTTGAACGGCTTTCTTTACTCGCGCCGTAGCGGACGATATTCAAGGCAATCCATTTTCGTGTCCAAAGTACAGAGGTACCGTCGCTTACCGTCACCGGTTTTTCGTAACGAGTCCTGTGCTTTGTTGGGAAAGAAACGCAAAAAAAGACATCATCTCGAGGGTACATGTCGTTTCGTCTGTACATAGAACGGCGGCTACCAGTGCCGAATTCTCGGGGCGTCTGATAATGGGAGGTGACTTTGACGGGATTACAGAGTGCAATGCAACAGCAGAAGGCTAGAAGCAACACAGCAGGTCGGCGGGTAAACCGGGTACGCACAGGACGGCCCAGGACGTGCCGTTCTTGTGTTGTGAAATGCTCTTCTGCGAGAGCTCACAGGATCCATGGGCGCGCGCTGAGAGACCGGCCGCCCGGACGTGTGGCTTTGGTGGGCGATGCCGATTTTGACACATTTGTCTGCGGTGAGTAAGAGCTTATCTTATGCCTTGTTGAAGGCTATTGCCATCGCCATCACCATCGCCATCGGCTTTGGCTGGCTGCGTTGGCTGCTTTGACTTGGGGCTTTTCGACCCGATATCTGAGATGGACAGTGTGTTGCTCTCTTTTCTTCTTCAATAGTGAGTTCGCCCTCCCAAGTATCAATCCCAACCGGGCCGGTCATGTTGGGGGTAACACAGAAAGTATGATATGAGGTTTGAAGAGACGTCGGGTGCCCGCTCCGACCCTTTGGCCACGAATGAGAGGTACCTTACAAGGTATCCTTACGAATAGAGGATGCAAGAGACAGAGAGAGAGAAATGCAAGAAAAACTCGGAAAGTGTACCGCTCGTTGTGTGGATTAAAGAGCCTCGAATAGCCGTGACATGCAAAAATAAATGCAGATACGTACACCGGCAAGTATCTTGTACCTGCTTTGGTCTGTCCCACGATGCCTTTTCAGAGAGGACAACCGAGAAGGAACATCGCACATGGAAGTGTAAGGTCACTTGCGGAGTACAGAGAGAAGTACCCAGTACGTACCGTTGGAGGGCATCGTCGTCTCCCCAGTGGATGTTTGAGACCTTGGTGGTTCCTTGGTGCCCCAAGTGCCCCTCCATTGGCGCATGTGATGTGCCCCATGTGGCAGCTCCCAGGCCTCACTTGCTTCAGCTTCTGCCCCAGCTTCCCAGCCAAATGTCGCCTTGCGCCGTCAGATACGATGGAGCAGACGGCAGCGATGAGGTGAAGCAAGTACCTTTCTCCCTGTACCTCTACCACAGGCGGACAGGCGGACACAGGCCCGGGACGGTCGCTCTCGCCAACACCACCACCGCCGCCGCGCCGCCTTCGCCGCCAGGTACCGCGATACTTGAGACTTGAGGAACCTGAGAAAGAAGAAGGTACCTTCCCACCTCCCTCGAGCTGTACATATTGAGCCTGCGATCCAATCACCAAGGCTAATTGGAGTCTGCTGCCTACCCGAAACGGCTTAGCCCAGTTTCTGTTTGGTAATAGTTCGCCATTTGTGCTGCGGGTGAAGTCATCATCGTGATCCAACTCGTAGTAGACACTGGACGAGAAGCCACGGGAGCTTCATTCGAGAAGGCGAGAGCTGCAAGGATGCATGTCGACGTGCTTCCCCTGGAGCCCTGGAGGGGGGGGGAAAATATGCAAATTTTCCTTCACAACGTCTCTCGTCTCTTTGCGAGTCACCTGCCCGGCTATGGGGGTGTGTGTGTACATGGAAGAAGGGACTTGGAGAGACGTACTCTGGTAGAAGAGAATTAGAAGGGGGAAAAAAAAAATTCGAGTAGGAAAAGAATGACCGGCATTTATTTCTTGTAGTCAGAGAAGCATTCGGCCTCGTCAAGTCATCAAGTACCTTTGAGTATAAAGCTTAGAGTCGGGCCTCTTGGATCGTGAGTTTTCCAGTTCCTGTTCGACTTTGCTTTTTCCTCATCCTCACCTTCATCCTCGTCTCCTCCTCCCCCTTTCACGAGCCTCAACTAAAGCTCTAGGTTAAACAGCTTCACCCAACAAGCGGCGTTTACCCGCTTGCTGTTACTCTTTACCTACATCCCTCCCTCACACTCTGGCTTCATTCCTACTGGCCAAAGACGACCTACCTTATCTACACCTCTGAGCCACCACAAAGGTAAACAACATACACACGCACCTCTCCGTCATTCCCATCACCATTGCCAAATTGCTTCCTTCGCCGTGTCCGCCTCTGCTCTCTCTGCATCGCGTCAGCCACATACACAGCCCAGCCAACAGCCGTCAGCCAGCTCTCTCAGCAACCGGCCCGGCGGCGTGGTGTTCTGTTGTGTTTCCCCCCCAATTGTCCTCTTGCCTGTGCCATTCCCACCACCCCAGGCCCGTTCACAGCCCTGTGGCCACGGCTGCTACGACCTTGTCCGCCCGCCTTGCTGCTATTTTCAGCTGAAGGCAGCAAAAACGAGTCGATACGGGAGCGCTAACTCTCACTCAGTTCAGGGTCCCTTATCTCTCGGAAACCCGCCCCTCGGTGTTGCCACGTCCACATCTCACCCCCCAAACCGTCAAGTCGCACCCACGAAAGTCACAAACTGAATTTCTGGTATCTTTACTGAACCAGGATCTGGATCTGACGAAACAACTTGTTGTTTTTTTCTCACTCTCCAAGGTACGACCACTTCCTTCTCGAATCCAGCGAGAAAGATTCCAGGCTCCTCTTGGCCGCAGGTTGCAACCCCACCGTCAT